TRACCACACACCWGYRTCTCTCACTCCCTGACAACATTTTTAATCAGAGGACAATTTGAGCCTCAAACAGCAAACCAAATAACAGGTAATGTGCAGAAACGTCAGTCCAGTCATCATAAATTAAAACTTGTAGGTTTAGACAGCTCAAACGTTAAAGTGCAAGACATTATCACAGTCTACGCTGAAACTTTAACTGTAAAATATCCAAAAGTTATCAAAACCCAACTTTCCATGACCTATTTAAACTTTGAATGATGTTTCTACAGCGAAGCAAGATTGAGCTATTCAGCTCCAAGAGGGGCCTTGGTTTTCTTACTCATTTCATCAAACCCCATTGTTGTCTACAAGGAGACTCGCTGCAGTTTTTTTTGAGAATATTTTAAAGTAGGTTAAAATCAAAAGCCACAGTGCTCTATTCCAGTTTCTTTTTGTCAAATTATTATGAGCAACCGTTTTTAAAACAAGTGCTTGCAAAGACTTAGAAATGTTAAATTATGTAAAATGTTGACATCTGCCCTCGCTCATAGGAGGATCCTTTTAATGATGCTCCACAGATTAAGGTTGAGCTCAGAGGAAAATAGTGGCCAAGTTGGATTTTTTTAAACTCCCATAGCCGAGGTAATAATAATTTCAGCATGAGATGATGCGTTGTCTTGCATGAAAAGGATTGTTCACCAGAAGACAACACTTCTTTTTATACTAYGGCAGGAAAGGGTCAATTAGGAACTCACCAACTCACTCCTAATAATTCCAGCTCCACCACATCCCAGTCTTATYGGGACATTGGTTTTGTGAAACTTGTTTCCTACTCATCAGTGGCTTTTTCGCAGCTGCTMGTCGACTTTGATGCATTTGTCAGAAACTTCACTTGATGTGCTTTTATCTAAACAAACCCAAAACCCAGACAAATCTTTTCACAGTATATCTTTTCCTTTTTGTGTGAAATATTCATTAAACTTTTCCCAATATTGCTTGAAACTTGTGACTTTGCTTAATATTGTAAAACAACTTTGTGAAGTAGTTTTTCTTTTAATGATCTGTCAGACTAATAACCAACCTGCCAGTGGGATTGATGTCAGTAATCAAAACAGAAATATCAAAATTAACMAACAGGAAAGAGAAATGAACTAATTCATTATTCAGCTTTGTTTCTTTCCTTTTGAACACATTTTTCCCACCACTTATTGTTTTTATTGTTACACCAGAGACCAAACACTATCACAGACAAGTGCCTCATGTTTCTCTGTTTACTTCCTAAAGGGCACCGAAAAAACTGCTTATTCCTCCGATCTCAGATAACTTAAACAACMGAGTCAAGGTTGCTCCCATGCTCTCCTCGGTGCCATCAATCTCACAGGAAAAAGCTGAATTTCCTCTCACGCWATTTTGTTACTATGCCCCCTCTTTTTTTCCCCTCCTATGATGAATACGTCCCCCCTCCCAAATATCATAACCACTTCCTCCTCCTCTATTCATCTTCGCAGCATAAACAAACACAGGTCGACAGACTAATTTGTTTACAGAATTCTTACCCTTTTCCAGCTTACAGCTCTTGTTTAACGGCACGACTCCGCATTTTTGGAACACGCACAGATGTGTTTTTTATTGACTGGAAAGGTAGATGGTATTGATACCAGGTGGACATCTTTTATACAAACCACACATGTGCTTCGGTTGCTGATGTATATATAAAAAAATGCAGAACGAACCCACCTTAATTACAGTTCTGTCATTAAAATCACTGTTACTATTAAAGATACACCACTGCCAAACTGTGTAGTGTCTGTTAGCAAAATATCTCATAAATCAGAGGATTTTAATGACAGTCTCAGAAAGAATTCCTGGATAAATCATAAGCTTTTGTGCAATCTTTGTTTAAAACTTCAGCATGCAATGGGGCGTGCAATATGTATTCTTTCAAGCAATGCCAGTTTTATTGTATTTCTGCAAAACAAGTGGTTTTAGCTTGTTCTGCGCACATGAAAAAAAAMGCTGAGAATATATTTTTAGTTTTATGCACACAAACCAGATGTACAGTCTGCAGCCTGCTTGTAAAAGTGTTTCAGCCCTAATTTTAAACAGAAACACAACTYAAATAAATAACAGCACATAGACACCATTAGTATATGCCAAAAACTCTGTGGAAAAAAAAATCAACACTCCTTAAACAATTGAAGCATGAAATTCCACAGCTTTTTGGCGTCTTTTACCACACATAAGCACTCAGACATCCATGACGTTTAGGTCTGCTTTGATCACACTTCTCTTTGRCCACATTGAGAAACAATTCTATTAAATAAATTGTAATGTAAGCAAATGTGATCACAAACTGCTAATTCCATCAAATTATTTAGTCCAAACAATGGGTGACACACACACAMAAACACACATGCTGAAGCACAAACCTAAACTAGAGAAACTTCAATGATACWGACTGACTTTGCTGGAATTTGCTGAAGAAGCTGAAGCTGAGTTGTTAAAGCCAAATATAGCAAGATGTTAAGCCAAAAGTAGCTACATGGCTAAAAAGCTAAAAGTAGCAAATTGTATCTGAAAGCTAAATTTACTACAAAATATGCTAAAAACTAAAAATAGTACAAGAGCAAGTACAGAAACATATTTCAAGGAGAACATTTTTTAAGGATTTGGAGAGATCTGGATGTATTTTTATAAGTAAAATTTTTGTAAATTAATGTTTTAAAAAAGGTATAAAAGTTACAAAATAAAGTATCTTCTAATTGAGCCAACTATTTTGTTATAGCTGAACTAACAATGTATGCAACCATTAACAAAAATGTAATAAAAAATAATAATATGAAAAAAGGAAAACAATGATGTAAGCACATTGTCAGAAGTGGTGTAACAGAATCTGAATGGGTTAGATAGACGCATATATTCAAGATGCCTTATTTTTAAAACTACGGCTTGTTCATAGTTCAAAGCGTCTCAATAAGGTTGTAACAGCCCTACGCCTGCCCCCCCCCCCCCCCACCCCACCCCCACCATCTGCTCCGTATCAATCAACGGCCCCATCAGCACGACGCTCATCATCATTATCAGACAGAGAGGCTTTTTGAGAGGTTCATCTTGAAACACTTTCTGAAGTTTGTTTGCATCCGTACTCATTTTCCCATGGACAAAGACCCTCCTACACACACAGTGAAACACACACACACACACACACCCCAGAAACCACAGCTCTCTCCCCACTGTGGGGGGTTACTGGTAAAAGAATGTGAGAAACACTGTGGTATCTGGGGCAAGCTTCCTTTTTCAATTCATATGAGTCATATAGCTGTATTAAAATGTCACGATTACATCAGATTGTTGTCAAGTTATTTACGTGTAAATAAAAAATGCATACCTTACATGAYTRTAAATTTGTCTTTTGKGTTTTCTTTCTGGAAACTTGTGCTTAAACAGTGTTGATTTGAATGTTTTAGATAGATTTCAGAAGATTTCCCACGTTCCACAGAATTCAACCCAAAAAAAACTACTATTATTAGCTCAGTAGCTTATGTTCTTCCTGGTCATTCAAGTAAAGCTCTGGCATTCCTTTTATACCGTTGTTTTAAACTAAGATTATTTTATATGAGAATTGAACTAACAATACAGACAAATGAACATTCGCACACAGATATAAGCAAAAAACAATTCAGATGATATAAGATGTTCTGAACTAAAAACTGTTTTTAAATTTGTTAGACTCCATCCTCAAAACCCCTTGAAATTATCTGGACACCTTTACCCTTTCATCTTGCATGACAGACGAGAGCTGAGTCACATGATGAAGGCCGGTGTTGGTTTGGAGACCAAATTAAACACAGAACAGGGTTTTGATTTGARCCAAGCTGGACATAACAAGAAAACATCAAAGATTTTCCAGACATTTTTTGATTCTTGGAGCTGGTGAGTTAAACAAGGTATTCTGTGGGACAGTTTGTGGGATTCTGCTAAAGCTCGAGCAGATCCTGTTCTCGCTCATCACACAGCTTTAAAGCTTGTTCTTMTTTTATTARGTGATGAATGATAAATGRCCTTGGCAGCAGCAGTCCAACCAGCTACGGTAACCATGTGGAGATGTGACACTGGGCAGTGATAGAACTTGAGTTTCCYTTATATGTACTGTATTACACCCAAAGGTAAGCACACCGCTGACGGCACTGTGGCGTTCAGTCATCACAGCTGAAGCCTGAAGGACTTGCACACATATTGAACACAGGTGCACTTCCTGAGTCCTGTGCATTAAACTTCAAAAGATGACAAAAATAACTAGAACTGGAAGAAGCTCCTCTTGGACTAAGTCAAGATACACCGTTCTAAGGTAACTTTTGCTTGGCTTTGCAGCCACATATGTTAAGAACAAATGGTGTTAAGTTGTGCCTGCATGCTTCTGATCCAAAAAGACAAATATATGGGGAAGTGCTGAAATCTCCAGCTGCTCTCAATTCTCATAGATCCCCTTTTGGCACAGGCTACAAACTAAATGCTAATGTGTGCAGCCTCTCAGTTGAGTGCGTTTCTATCTCGTCAACATCTTTGAATTGCAATAAGTGTGACATCTGCAGGAAATGAGAGCCATCCTCCTATAGATGAAGACAAAAGGAAGTGACAGGCTCTGTAGGCTGGCTGAAGCCAAAATGTTGGAGAACATCCAGTCTCTTTTAAGACTTTGTCCTTTCTTTTACTAAATGGGTGACAATGATAGATCGCTCTGAACCGACAGAGTCTATAAGTAATCTGGAGCAGGGGAGGGGGAAAAAAATTAAGCGTGGAAGGAAAAGTTGTGCGTCAATGACAAATAGCTAGGTCATATGGCAATGATATAGCACAAACACAGAAATAAGCTTTGTGCGAAGCAACGAAACATACTTCATTTTAAAAGTTTCTGCAACAAATGTTAAAAATGTGTAGGGCGGTTTTAGCAAAAGCAGAAAACTACCGATAAACTGCTTTAGTTTGTGACTTATGAGTAAGCATTCATTGATCCAGAATGGGAATAGTTGTATTTAAAAGGTTTATTTCCTGCAGCAAAATATGTCAAATACAATGTCTGAGTGCACGCATTAAGCATGAAGAAACATCAAAAGAAAATCTATTTAAAAAAGCAAACAAGTTTCATTGCAAATGAAAGAATAACCACATTTTTTAATATTTCCAGCATTACCTGCTGCAGTTGTAACTACCCAGCTTCAATTGTTATTTTTTTATATTCCACTTAATAAAAAGAACGGTTATTATTATAAGTTCAAATATTATTATCTCAAGCTATAATAGCTTCCTGATGATCACCTCACTAAAGTCCTTTGTGTGTTGTATGCCACCCACACCCACGGACCCCCACACTAATGTTTCCCCTCCTATGTCAAAAAATAACTAAACTAAAAAGGGAAAAAAGCAAAGTTACAAGGTAATGAAAGTACAAATAAAAAGTCTCTGTCTCCCTCTAGTGGATCAAAGTCCAGTTGACAAATTTATTTGGAGAGTTCAGAAAAGTGGAGGGTCCTTCATTAGAAAACAAACAGCAAATAAAAATCCCTTTAACAGAGATTGTAACCCTGCCAAATATGTTCTATTCTTATAAATTTAAATACAAAAATCCTTAAGACAAAAACAAAATAAACACATATGTTGTGCAACTAAATTGTTCTTTAGAGTTTATTACTAGAAAAAGTTAAATTGATGAAACTCAACACTCCATAGGAAGGAAATCTTAAAAACAATCACCTCATCTTATTTCGTTTACAAAATTATCATCAACTTTATCATAGAAAACAAATCCGTCTGGGATGAATTGAGAATTAAACTTACGAAAGATGAAAATCAAAGCATGTTGGGGGAAAAAACACATTCATGAAATGTTTTATGTTTCAAGAGATAATTTTGATTTTAAATGACCAGTTTCAGCCACAAGGTGGAGCAATTAATTCAGATTTAACAGCTGCTTCTGAAAAGGACTCACGTTTTGGTTGTCATACAAATCATTTATAGTCATCAGGACAAGAAGGCATGATTAGAAATATAACACTTGTTTTGTAGTTTATTGTGTTGTTTTTTTAGCTGTCATTAAAATATCAGACGGTGCTACCTAGCTCATAGTAAAAGGGCCAAAACTGTATTAAATCTATCTGCAAACTTAAAAAATGTTAGTTAAAAAGTCCATTTTTGAAACATTTCTTCAGCTTCTCAGCTCTGCTCAAAGCATGCACAAGACAAACACACTGCTTCTGTCATCCAATCAGAATCATACCAGATCCACCTGTTTGATCTGTTTCTGATTGTAATGTTGATGAATGTGAGTGAGGTGGAACTTGGGTTATCAGCTCATTATTTAGGCTCCAGAAGTTGAAGTGAGGCGTCAGCAGTCATCTGCATGTTTAAGGCAGTTTATTGGGGGCCAGGTGGGGCTCAGTAAGGGTCCGTCTTGATCCTCCTGTACAAGCAGCAGGTGAAAACCATCCCACAGATCTGGAAACAGCAATGTGTTTGGTCAAAATGAAGACTTTAGAAAGCTTATATGTTGCTGCACGTGCTTGTAGAGAAGATTTAATTGTGAGGAGAGTTAGAAATCACTGGGAAGTATGAAGCTGGTTACTATGGGGATGTCAGGAGTCAAGCAAGCATCACTGCAACAACAGCATGTGTGCACAGACTTGCATGAGCAAACAAAAAAAACAGGGGGTGGTGCACAGAGGAAAAGCACATTTATGCACAATTATTAATAGCTTTTTTTCCCTAGGTCTCAAAACTAATGACTGGTAAAGACACAAGTGCAAAAAATCTGAAGCAAAGTACAGAAAGATACTGTAAAATAATTTGCATCAGCAAACTTTAGACAAGAATTAAAAAACCTAAAACAAGTGATGTAAAAAGAAATGCTGCAATCTTTCAGTCAAGGTTCAGGAAAAGCCTCATAACAGCAGCAGGAACAGATAAGTGTGCAACACCACTGACCCCATCAGGMCTAATGGATGAACAGGCATGTGCCCAAATTTCATCTTTGAGCCACTAAAAGCCCCATCAAGTGACTCAGCATCGTCTGTCAACATCTCTGGTCAAAAAGGTTTTACTTTTGTTTTGATTCTAATCTACCTGGAACAGAAAACTGTAAGTTAAAGTGTTTTTTTTTTCTCAGGAAGGAGCAAAATATACTTTTATTTTTATGCTATTGAAAGGGTTGGAGTGTTAAGTCTGATTTTTGTAATCAAAAAGAACACAGAAACTATGTAAAATGGATTAAAAAGAATAATGAACTATTATTCGATGGAATAACTGTATTCCCGATAGCTTCTTGAAGTTGTTTGAGCAGCCCAAATACGTTTTCTAGGAGCAAGTAACTATAGAAACAAGACTTTAAAGCAATAGGAGGTGACAGTGTTAGAAAACGCATGGTGAATTATTAACAGTATTTCATCAATTCAGAAACCTTTGAAGTTAACATTTTTGCCCATGCTTAGTTTTTAAATACTAAATATCATACCGCTCTAACATCCCTACTTTCCTCTTCCTGTCAACACGGACAGTAACAGGATGAAGCAGGTGAATTAATGTTTCCTGTTTGACCTTTCCTAGTCTCACATCTGTAACAGCTCGTTATCGGAAAGCGTTAGCAGAGGTTTCATACAAAGCCAAAGCCAAGCAGAAGCATGCTTCACATTAAACACCATTATTTAGAATATTTCGCAGACATGCAGACTGCAGGTCTCACAAACAGCAGGCAGTCAAACAAGGACAAACATGCAAATACCCATAACGCCCTCCAACCTGGTCTATCCATTTGATTAACAACACCAAGGAGCTCTAGAGCCAAATTACAATGCACCAAAGTCTTCTTCCTCTTCCTTATAGAGCAGATAGATAAAGCAGGCTGTCAAGAGTGCTCCGGCCAGCTACAGTGAGACCAAACAACACACAGACATTTTCAACGTATACAAACGTCAGGTTAGAGACAATAATCTAAATATATAGGAATAATAACCAAGTCAGTATGACATGTATCCCAGACAAAAAATAAAAGTTGATGAAGGTTAAACCTACAATACACAAAAGAAAGAAACGTGTTGAACAGTATTTTATATTGTATGTGCATCTTTTAGGGAATACTCTACATAGACTACTTGTTTTTATGTTTTATGTTAATGAAACTGCTTACTGTATAACTTTGAAATAAAAAAGGTTTTAAGCAAATGTTATTGTAAATGTGAACGCTTTCTTTCCATATAGAACAGCAGCACATGCAATGCAATTATTACACAACTGCTAATCCCACTAATGCAAGTTTATGGTTTAAGAAAAACAAAATGTTGTTCTCATCTAATGTCTAATATAAACCTTGATAAATCCTAACATTATGACCACTGACAGGTAAAGGGAGTAACCCTGCTCATTTTGTTCCAGCAGAATATGCTGCTGGGAACAGCTGCTTACTGGCTTTAATACTTCCAACTCACTGTGAAGTCATCAAAAACACGGACCTACTCAAAATTATGCAGGTGGTCATAATGCTATGGCTGATATGCGTCAGTAGGTTCTGCTGGGCTTAAAAGCTTGAATCCATTTCAGAATGGTCTAAATGAAATAAAAGCAATGCAGCAAATCACATAACGATGACAGTGATGACACTGTGAAATGAGAAAAGCCAATTTAGAGGTTATTGATCTGTCATGTTATATTTTCAGTAATGGAGACCCTGAAACCCATTTATCTGCTTTTCTAAGGTTTATTCAACAAAAAGCAGCTGTTTATTCATCGAACTAGGAGGGTTTCACCAACAATCAGGTCTGGATAAAGCAGATTTTATTCGGATTTTTAAAAAAAACAGCTGAAATGTTTTCTGCTCTTTTATCCGCACATTACATTCCACCTACCTGAAGACAGGCCACTCCGATCCCCACTGCCCCAATGATCAGCAGATGGTCTGCAAGAAACTGCTCCAGCTTAGTGATGCAACCCCCCTGCAGAGGAAAAAAGTCTGAGTTACTTAAAAATATTATTCAGTTGCTTTTATTTTCTGCAGAATTATTTAAGTTGACTCATTCTGAATCATTGCTCTGGTAGTAATGTCATCACATTCATACAGCTTTAACCACAGACACTGTTGTAAACCAACAGATTCCACAAAGCTGACTGTTGTGGGTAAACACTGGTTGTGCCACAAATGAGACTCAACCAGCATGAACAGACTTTATTACTTGGATCAGGAGCAGATAATAGTAAAAATGAAGCAACCAAGCAGTAAGAATGTGTTTGTGATCAAACTGAAAAAAGTAAATAAAAAGTAAGGAGAGTCTCACCAGCTGATAAAAGAGCTGCATTATTTAAGCACATCATTACAAGAGATCAATAAACCTGTTTAAAGCAGACAATCTTGCACCACACTTAAAAAAAGACAACTTCCTTTAAAATCTGCATTTGATGTTTGTTATGAAAAGCAAAGTCTTGACTGAAGGGGTCAGACAACTTTAAATCATTTTCTTAATGAAAACAATGTAATAATTAGATGTTGTCATTTTCCAATTTTCCATTAGCATGTGGTTTACTAACCTCCACCTTATAGATGTTGGAGGGGTGGTTTCTCCTGCCACAGAGCAAAGTGACTGTTTTACAGCAGCTGTCAGGGACCACTCTGTTTTCTGCCTGGGTTGACAGAACGTACACGCTCTGCAGCCAATCCTCGTAGTTGTTGCTGCCACAGCACTTGAACTGAACAGGCAGAAAACGAGAGCAGAGAGTTTAATGATGTCCACTTTAAGAGAGAAATACAGGGCTCCCAGCAGTTCATGAAAACTAAATTCTCTGAGTAACTCTTAAAATTCCAGGAGATATTTCRATCACACAAAACGCTGAGAACTTAGGATCTACTTTAGGACTGAGCRGTTTAACAGAAAATTATCTTTTGATCAGAAGGCTAGAGATAATATTCCCTTAATCTTCCCTGTCTGAAAAAAGTGAAAGCCTTTATCCATATATATGAATAAATATAATCCATACATCTTGTTGTAGTCTGTCCACTGCAGATGTAATCATCTCCTTGCCTGGTTGGGCATAATTCTCAGTCATTGTCTGGTTCAGGTGTTGTTTTAGCTCCTCGCTTAGCTGAAGATGAGAAACAGAATAATAAGAACAGCAGAGGTGTCAAAAGTATTCACATTCGTTACTTAAGAAGTATAGATACTAGGGTTTAAAAAAACTTTTTTGGAAGTAGAAGTATCAATTCAAGTTTAAAAGTACTGGTTTTAAAACTACTTAATGGCTTTTTTTAAGTGTTCATTACTTTTACTTTTATACTTTAAGGATAAAAGCTTAGGCTGTGCCACAGGGTTCTATAGCATGTAGCGCAGGGGTCACTAATAGGCGGACCTGGGTCCGGATCCGGACCGGAATGGTGTCTCATGCGGACCCGTACATGATGCCAAAACAAAGATCACCACTTAAAACTGAAATGAGCGCATGTAATGCTGCGTTCGGACCTAACAAGATTTGAGTGTCGGGGGCATCGGGTTTACATGCAAAGTCTATGGTGGATGCAAGTCAAGGGATATTGAGAAGTGTTGCTGTGCGTTTTGAAGCGTTTTGAGACAGAGGAAAGGATGGAGATGGAGAGAAAAACAGGAAAAGAGAAGGAAATATACAGGCGGGTGAGAAAGGATGGAGAAAACTGATAGTTGAGATGGGGAAGGGGAGAGAAACTGAAGAGTTAACAGACAAATACAAAAAAATAAAAAAATAAAAACAAATAGTTGCATCAAAATTTTTTTAATGGACAGCCGGTGAGTCTCACATGTTTAGAAATGTGACCCTTATTAAAAGTTAATTCCATTATGAAACAAAGTATAAAAGTTTTGGACAAATGTACCAAATCAACATGCACAGTTGTCATGTAATGTTTAGTTTCTTATTTTGACACGTTCATCATACTTTTACTCAGTAAGAGAACATAAAACATCAGACTTTAGAATYTCACGTTCATCTTTTTGTTACGTGACAATAAATATTGAAAAACTATTTTAATTAGACTGAATTGATTTAATTTTATATGCAAATCAGTTTGTGCAGATGTTGATACAACTACTACTTAAATATATATAATTCTAAATAGTTTTTTTTTTTGATAGCCTCCCTTCTCCCCCTTTAGCCATCCTCTCCACACCATTATTATGTTTTTTTTAATAATAATAAGAGAAGAAGAAGAAAAAAGAAAAAAGTGAAATGCATTGACAAAGAGTGAAAAAGAGATTAGAAGATATGTAAAATATATGTTGAGAAAACACAAGACAGCACACCGGACTTCTCGGCTCCACACCTACAAAACAAAGCTAGCAAAACCACAGCAACAAAAATGCATAACTATGTAATTATAATGACTTAAGCCTTGCTGAAAACCATACCCATTTACATATACAAATATATACACAACCATACCCCTACCTACATATCCAAACACTTTCATATACATACTTACATACAAATACATACATACCCATACATATACATGCCCATATACATACGTGCACACATACATACACATATGCACATATCCTTCGTCAGTGCCCGAATAGAAAACCCAGGATGTAAACGCCTGTTTGTGTGCAGTTGTGATCAGGCATGGATCTCTCTCGTGGAATGTTTCAAAGTGAGTGTGGGGGGACCACAGAYGCGACCCGCAAAGCCGGAAGCCGACATATAATTCTAAATAGTAAAACATTATGATCTAATGGACCTTGGTCTTAAGAAATTTTCTCTGACTGGACCTGTTTAAATTTTAATTGAAGACCCCTGATATAGCGTATACCCCCCCCCCCCAAATCCATTTTCCTTCCAAAGTCAATAATGAGTATAATGTTAAATTAAAATGTTTATGTTGAAAATTTGTAATTAACTGATTAGACTACTTTTTTCAGCCATGATCATCTTCATTCTAGGCTACATCTGCTACAGTCTGTGCTGCTGGAATGTGATGTGATTTGTGTCATACAGGTGTGATGGAGTGATTTGTGTCATACAGGTGTGATGGAGTGATTTGTGTCATACAGGTGTGATGGAGTGATTTGTGCCATACAGGTGTGATGGAGTGATTTGTGTCATACAGGTGTGATGGAGTGATTTGTGTCATACAGGTGTGATGGAGTGAGTTCAAATTTACACTTCTCATCCAACCACAACCAAATTCACTCTATCCAAGAGCTCAAAGTATCTGGATAGATTTCTATTTATTTTTTCTGAACAATGAAAAGATGGAATAAAAACAAGTCAAAGTTAAATAGAAAATAAATGCTTTTTGCATTTTTAAAAAGTAAGGAGCAGAATGTTCAGATAATTGAATTAAAATGCAAGGAGTAGAAGTAAAAAGTAGGCTGAAAAATAATTACCCCACTAAAGTATAAATAACCAAAATTTCTACTTAAGTAAAGTATTTGTACTTAGTTACTTGACACCTCTGAAGAACAGTGAGCGAGGAACAATTAAATGGGCTATGTACAGTTAAATTCTTTTGCACCCCACAGGTTGTTGAGTTTACTGTCAAACTTGGTTTCTTTATAGTTCACCTGAAGGGATTTTTGTCATTTCTGTAGATGACAAAACAAAAAACGACTGCTAACTTACCCTCTGGTAGTAAACATAAGCCAGAACTCCAGCCACCAGCTCAATCAAAAAGATCAAGAGCAGGAAGAAGAAATACTGCGGATGAGAAATAAAACAGAAGAGAAGAGAGGAATTTCATAAATCAGCCACAGGATTTCATTCAGACATTTCAGCCTCTTAATCATCTGTACGGTTGTCACTTAARCCATCTCCTCAGCAACTCAAGCTGCTTCAAATTTGAGATGGCTCGATATAAATTTTCATCATCTGTCACTTCGCCGCATCTGTCACTTCTAACGCAGATGGCAACGCTGCCCAAAAAAAAAAAAAAATAATAAAATCAGACATCCAGAAAGCAATCTGAAAGGCTGTGAAAGCTTATTCCTCTCTGCACTGAACGCTGCTAGAAACCAATTCTAGTTTTAATTATAGCAGAGCTGAAAACATCTTAGCAATAAAAACATTATTGAAATTTTAGCTGTCACTTTAGATATATATCAGGCATCAGATTAGTATAACCAAACACAGGAGCATCAACAAGCTAACAACAGAGTGAGACCAAAAAAAGCTGCATATTTTAAGCATCTTAATGACAAGCATGACTGTATGTACTGAAATAAAGAGAACAGTAATGTCAACTGAAGCAGACTGCTTACACTGACAGCCTAAWAAGATTAAAAGAAAACTTTTTTTAAACTCAAATAGCATGCATAAACTTTATTATTTATCAAACCCTTCCAACAGTTATCACAAACAAGCTCATGTAACCCAAGCACACAGGACTAATTAGATCTAGCTGTCAGAACGAGCAGCAGTGCTTCTCCGAAACCCACTGCAGACAGATGCTTCTACCTCCAACACAACGCCAAACAAAGTGATCCCAAACCACTGGTGGCAAACAGCTGCAGGGAATGTTCCATTTAAGAGAGTAGAGTTAATTGTACAAACAGTGAAARCTCAAGTAATTTTAGGCTTATTCCTGGTTATGCAACACAGTGTCACAGGTTTACAAAGTTGTGCTTTTTTAAATAATTTAAGAATCATTAGTCAAGGTTTTCCACAAATTCACAGTGTGAAAAAAAATCTGAAAAAAATGACATCTTTAAATAGTTTATAAGTATAGACTATTTTCCATGTGATACACTTTAGTGATAATGATCTAAACCAACTCCAACCAGATTTTATAAAAAGTGTGAAAATTTAATTCCCTTAGGAGAAAAAAAAGGTGGCAAAGTGTGGTTCTGGTGCATCTGTGGTTTTCCACTGCAGCTGTTACCAGTGTTACTGTGTTTTACAGAAACACAACCAGCTCTGTAATGAGTTAAAAAACACTTCAGTCTCTATGTGTATGCTGCCCACACAAAATGTCAACTTCAGCTTTTTTTAAAAAAAAAAAAAGCACCCTGTTCATGCAACTATCACTTTTTAATTTTCCACTGATCTATAAATAGCATGTTGATGTTGTTGGCATCAAAGCTAACTGCATTAGAAAATCTCTACCACTTAACTCTTGCAAGCCCCCTGATTTATTTTTTTGTTTCTATTGCAGCATCCATCAACAGTTGATAGRCAGAGCTAAAAATAGCCCTGCAGCAGTGAACATTCACCTCCCACCTGATTTTCTCCCACTGAGCCCTGTTCCTGTAAAATAATGAGGACAGTAAGGGTCTTGTCAAGAGTCATTTGCCATCATCTCGTGACAGACCTTAAAACAGGGTTGGCATGAATGAGACCCGTGTTATGCTCTTACATCAGTGTCATGTACCTACGCACAGACAATAGGCAGGGGTGTACAAGTGGGCACACAGCTACCTTCAGGTACAGACATGTAAAGAAACAGTTTGCTAATCATTCTGCTTGTACATCCTTCAGTACACCACAAAGTCAATTGACTGCATTTCTAAAATGATTAATAGTCTTGTTTGCTACACTCAACACTTTACACCACAAAACACACTCACTCATCCAGTTCTTTAGTATATGTAGAGCTTTTTTTCCTCCACCACATACTCGAGGAGTCATGCACAAGAACACTTTGACATACTTCAGACTGGTGACCCATGAATTGAACCACTGACCCTCAAATTGTCAGATTAATCTATTTTTTATTCTCTCACTGGTCTTCAACACAGACCCTTCTTTCACAATTAGTCATGATATTGTTCGTCTAAACCTGCACTTTTTTTTGGATTCTCAGAGACAAATTACCCAGCCATGAAGCACAAGTAGATCAATAATAAAATTAAGTCATGATGTGAGAGTCGTATGCTAAATGATCAGCTGACTAGGGATGGACAGTTATTATTTTATAATAACAACAACAATAATAATAATAATAACAACAATAATAATAATATTTATTCGTTAATTTCATTAAAAACAACTTAAAGTCAATATAATTAAAATACAACTCAAATAAATGAAAGGCAGCAGAAGAAGACCAAATCTTATATCTGCCCCTTTTTTCTCAATAAAATCAATCAAAATAAACTTCAAATTTCAATAACAAAACAAAAAATATATATAAATAAAAAAGAAAAGAAAAAGAAAAAAACATGAAAAGAAAAAAACAATAAAGGTTTGACTCCATCTTGAACACAAATCATACGTTATGTTGTTACATATTTCTGTAACAAATTTACCTTTAACATTCTAAACTTTTAGATTTAAATTGTGATTAAAAATAGTAAATTCAAAGAAGTTTTGTGAAGTCAAGCTTTTTTATTTTCTCTCTGAACCACTGCACTTAGTACTGACACATTAAGAAAGCTTTTCGAGTCTACCGCCCACAACCCAAATGCACAAAAAAAAGTGTCATCATAGTTTATTTTGAAAGAATTATAAAGTAGGACCTACGTTTAAGGGCAAGTTAAACTTCCAGAAGATGTAAATGATAGCCCTGCATAACTTAAATCATACACTTCGAAGAAAAGTTAAATAATTGCAAACAAATTCAACAAGTGTTTTGGCTTAAAATGCCCATCCCTACAAYTGACATCAACAACAATCAAAAACCACAGATAATGAACTCTGAAGACCCCTCCTGTCCCTTTGGCCTCACCGTAGACAGACAGCTTCTCTGTTCCCTGATGACAGCACAGCAGCCGAGGAAACCGGTAACCACCACTAGGCTGCCAGCCAGGATGAGGATATATGCTGAGACAGCAAATGTGCTGGAAGCCAGCAGACTCAAGTAGTCACTCTTCTCCACCACTGTCCAGATTCCTACACCCAAGACAGCAGCACCACCCATCTGCAAAAGTAGAGGTGGAAAAGAATATATCAGTTAATAAATCTGTAATACGTAGACCAAAAAAGCTTCAAACAATGTAGCATGTCTGCTGAACCTGGCAAAAAAATGACCAAAATGAAAAAAAAATGCACTTTTCAGGAAAAGATGTGAGTTCAGCATCATTAGATGAGTCATAGCATGGATAGAAAAAAGTAAGAAAAAGTCAGAAGAGGGTAAAGAGAGAAGAGAGGAATTGTGAGAAGAAACAGAGAAAGTGGCACTGATTCAGCCACAGGGAGTATTAAAACTTCAGAGGTCAWGTCAGGACATAATGACTGCTTCCTTCCAAACAATTCTGACTAACTGACCCAGGGTGGCTTTTAGATCTGTTCTTTGCATCTCATGACGTTCACAAGCAGACAAATAGGAAATGCCTTCAGTCTTTCCCCTACATCCTCCCATCCCTTTCCGTCTAAAACAATCCTTTTCACAGTCAAGTGTGCCCAATCAAAGGGGCACCAATAGGAGAAAGGACACACTGACAGATGATTTGCACATATCTAGAAATTAGTTTTAAACACGTTCCACTGAATTATAAAGCAACAGATCAACAAAAAAAACAGTAAAATGGCCTTCAAGTGTGTGTTCAATCGTTTTATCATACAGAACTTGATCAAAGGTGGCTGAGCTTATCAGCATTTGTCTAATTCAGCAGTTACTTCAGATCATACCTGCTCTTAAAATCTATTCCCAGGCAGTATAATCTGATAGGGTGTTATCAGCGGAAGCAAACTGGGATGACAGTAAAGGTGAGCAGGACAATGTCATGACAAGAGATGCATCATTTCTAGAACTGATTCAGATTCCAGTGGTGGACAAATAAAACAAAGTGGTTTGAGGAAATCTTGGAAGAAAGCCTGAGGAGATTTCAGATGCAAGAGATAAATGTTTCTTTTAGGAATAGKCAGTGTAATGTATTAGAGCAAATGCTGAAGTCTTTATAACAAAGACTAACGCTGTTCTGTTCTTTAAGTCTCATCCTGTCTCTGCATCTAGGTTCTTTTCTTGGACTCTAAAAACCTTCCAAAGTAAGGAGAAAATCATTATCTAAGAAACAGATTGCAGTACCATTAGGTGGGATGTCAGAACTCTCCTCAATCCATCATCTTAACCTCTGACATATGTCAAACTATGCTTTGCAACATTTATAGTGTTTGTTTAAAATAGAATTAAGGGTGTATTCAGACCAGGAAAGTCCTTTAGTCCAATTGTTTGGTCCGGACCAAAAATGGACTTTATTTATTTTTTTCGTTTGGTGAGGTTTGCATTCACATTGTGCTTTTTTTGCAAATGAACTACAGTGGGGAGAACAAGTATTTGATACACTGTTGATTTTTCAGGTTTTCCCACTTGCAAAGCTTGTAGAAGACTGTAATTTTTATCATAGGTACTCTTCAACTGTGAGTGATGGAATCTAAAACAAAAATCCAGAAAAATACAATGTATGATTTTTAAATAATTAATTTCCATTTTATTGTGTGAAATAAGTATTTGATCATTTCGGGGCTCCGTCAGTCCATGGTCTGGGGTTCCGTGGGCTTGGCAGTTTGCCTGGAGGGAGAGGTAGTTGGGCTGCTCTTCCAGTGTGGGTTTCGAGGAACGGGAGGACTTACTGGGGCCAGTGGGGGAGCTGACTCCCTGTG